AATAACGATCTCTCGCAAACTGGTAAACGTCTTCAATCATCTCGTTGAAAGACGACCTATTTGTTTTACTAGCAAGATATAGTATAGGGATTCTTAGCTAAAAAAAAAATGTGAAATATCGTTTTACAAGAATATACATATTAATACAATATAGATTATATAAAATTATATTATACCTCCATTGGAAATTCTTTCAAGCTCCTCTTTGCATTTTCTTCACATTGTAAAGCTTCTTCAAATGTCATATTAGTTTTACCCGTGATGCTACATGACCATATAAGGGAGTTGCACAAGATAATTCGCTCGCAAAATTCACTGTAATAGAAAATATATGTTTATTGCAATACAATTTATATACACGCGCGCATGTAATACATGTGTATAAATACATTAGACTTTCTTTACATTCAATTTTTGTAATTTTTTAATCATTACGAAACGTCATCTAACAAATATAATAAATACAAAAATAATGTAAATGACAAGTTATTTAAAATTGGCATAACATGTTAATAAAATCGTAAATTGCTTATGTACAATTTATAAACAGTCTTATTACATACCGAAAGCAATTGAATAGAAATTATATATTTAAATGAGTACGTAACATCGTGGTAACTAATATGGCATAAAAATGCATTTAATTTATAAATTAGCAGTGTAAAAAACTTGATTACGAAATTATTTAATGATATCTAAAATATAATAGATACTTTTTAACAAGAAACAATAATTAATTTCCTTATATATAATACGATGTTAATTCGAATGATATAAATAATATAATTTTTAACATTAGTCAGAATGTTTCTATTCAATCGAATAGGAAATACCAACAAATTACAAAAAATATTAACAATAAAATATTATAATACTAAATGTTCTCAAAAATTTATTAAAATTTATAAAAAAAAAATATTAATAAAACTTTCAATATAATGCAGCGACTATAGATGCATAAGAAGCTGATGTTAAAAATTTTCCAATTCTGTTCATCGTAAGTTTATCGAAAGATTTGGTTTTCCATCACTTTATTTTTATAGTAATTTATTCGCTTGGCCTTTTTGCTGAGTAAAAAACATTGATACTTCGTGTTAATATGGACAGAATTATCAATCTTTTTTGTTGTCTGATCTATGAGCGGAAAGACTAGCATGCTTTTATATAATCTGATATCTCGTCATTCATCTTACTACATATCAAAACAATGTAAACAATCTAAATTTTTATGTAGATACTCGCGTTTCGCTTCGTTCTTCACATCTTTTAAAGAATCAAATCATTTTATTTTTTTAATAGACACTTCATTTGAAATTCGTGATGCCTAAAATTCGTGCTTTGGCTGACTTTCTTAAAGTCGCAATTTTCCTTTCTCTTTCACATTTCGAAGGTCAGTATTCATAGTCTGTTCTTATTTCAAGACTGTTATAAATAATGTGTTAAAATGTAGTTGGCTGAGCTAAGTGATTGGGTTATGACAATTTAAAATTATGTTTAAGATAGTCTTAAATCAACTGAATACTGATTACAGGCTTGTGTTGTCCAGAGCTTTTTAAATTGAAATTTAAATGAATTCCTACTCCTTATTTCATAGCTATTTTCTCGTAGTGCTCGGTCTCAGGATTGAGATTAAATCGTTAAAAATGTTTGATGTATGTCAAACCACTTAATGCATCTGCAATAGTACCTCACGAGGTGCAGAAAGTTATTGGCAGACTAAATAATACTATTAATTATTTATTACATTTTGTCATATAATTATAATAAATGTATGCACACTAATTATATGTATATATTACTAAAATATGTAAAACATATATAAAATTATTCTTTTATAAGTATTATTATAATACATATATTTAG